TTGCCTGTCGATCAGCTTTATCTATTCAATGTTTTACTTGCTTTACATCTGCTACTGCTTATGTTCGGTGCGTATACTTGATGTATCTTTAGTTACTTACCTAAGAGATGCTGCCGTTGCCATTGGTTAGCCTTGATCTGTGAGTTCTGCTCTGCTTTGTTCTGTCTGCTGCTCCTCTCTGCAGCCACTCCTGCACTTAGTTGTTAACTCATTAGGTTTCCGCTGATTTTTAAGCCGCTTATTGTATGAGCTCTGCAGCTCCAACCGCAAGAGCTTAGGCTAGCCAGCTGCTTCTTTTACACTCTAGAATGTGTGTACGTGTGTATGAGCTCTAATTACATTTTAAATGTTTCAAGCATGTTTCTAGCTGGTCTTGAGCTCTGTTAATTGACAAATGATTCGTTCAACTTTAACCTGAAGCTCACTCAATTAGCTGTGACTGCGACAACTGCAATGCCTCGGTTGGCATTTGTTTTTAGCCACTGTGGCATTGCGTTAACTACTTTTTTATATGACCATCAATCTGTGGCCAAGTTTTGTGGGTGGCAACGGCTCCAGCAGCAGCAGCAACAACAACAATCGAGAACTTTTGTGCGCGAAGTCAAGTTGAAAATATATTGGAAAATGCAGTAGTAGTTTTTCCGAGCTTGGCCAAAAGTTTTTTTTTTGTACCCCAATGCGCGACTGGCTTTGCCTTTGCCTAAACTGACGTAAATTTATAATGACAAATTGCATTTGGCACAGGAGAAAAAGTGAACTCTATAGCCAAAAGGAAATGGAAAATGGCAAAGAAGGCGAACTGCAGCCAATTGAGCGTGAAAAATTATGATGCACCATGGCAGAGAGTCGTCGGAGCTGCAAGAAAAAATACGGCTTTCAACTTGGTCGAAAGACAATCACGGCGCTTAATTATGGGCTGAATGTCAAGTGAGAATTGTGGTAAATCCGCTTAAGTTCAAATTAAATCCGTATGCAAATGTATTGTACGACTAATTGAGTAGAGACAGAGAGAGAGAGAGAGAGAGATTAGAGCCATGCATGTGAGCATATGGGATATGTGTAGGTAATTCAACAAGCTTAAACACAATTAGTGGGCAACTAAATCTAAATACCTTGCAACAGCAACAACAGCTGCAATTAGTGTAATTACGTGCAGTTCATCAGAGTATTAGCAGCAATTCTGAAGGAGATTCGCAGCTCAGAAGTAACCACTGCACCACATTATTGCAATGCTGTTTGCTCACACGGCCGACCCATCGACAATTCTGGCCACAAGCCAGCTGAGCAGAGCCGCCTCCCCGCAACCAAACAATATCCTACGTGGCAAGCCCATCAAAATAACCTGGCTTCAAAATTTCACTCAAAACATTTTGCGTTCTCTAGATGTTGATGCTGATGTTGCTTGTAGTGCTATTGCATGGGGTATTATCAATTCTTCAGGCAGCTTGTAACAGTTTTGATTGGGAGTGTATGAATGGGCTAAAGAGAGCTGGGCACATATAGCTGAAGCCAAGCTGATGTTAAGCTCATTGTGATTTCAGTCAGTCAGATCAGCTTATGTCTCAATAGGTTTATTAACTTTGCTCTTATAATTTATATAGTGATATTTATAGTATATAGAGCTTTCATAATCACAAACTGTATGACTTGAAAATATTTCTTTTTACCTAAGCAAAAGCTCTTAAGATTCCGCTAAGCATATCAAATGGCATTCAGAGGAAAAAAAGGTAATCTTATGCAGCTGCAAGAGCATTTTGTGTTCGTCTTTTGAAACTTAAGTATTCTATTTTTATTGTTATTGCGTTTGGGCCGCCAACGGCGCTGGGTCATGGCAACATTTTGCCCAAATGGGCGTCACGCGATAAAGCAAAAAATGACACGTTTTTAATTTTACTTCACACCTACACAACAGCAACAGCAACAGCAACAGCGACGGTAACAATAACAACAACTTGACAACAGCAACAACTGAGCAACAACAAGGAGGCAGCCATGTAATCAAAACTGCAACAGAGCAACAGTCACAACAACAACTGCCAACTGGCAACTGGCAACTGGCAACTGGCAACAATGCCGTGGGTGCCAACTATAAGAACGCAATGTGGAAGGCGAGCAAGAGAAAAATTAGATTTATCACGAGTGGTTGCCGGAAAAATTGTCAACATTTATCAACATTTTTCAACGCGCGGCGACGTGTTTGGCCAGCAATGCAATAGCAACAGCAGCAGCAGCAGCAGCACCTCAAGAAAAAGAACAACAACAACAATTGTAACGGTAACTAAGCTAAAGTATGCCAGCGTCTGGCCAAGGGAACACATAGCGCCAGTGTCCGGTCCAAGTAGCTGCCGGAGATGAAGACCAAGACGGAGACGGAGACGGTTGCGTTTGATTAATATCCAAAACCATGAAGCGGGCCAGCAGGAAGCTGAGCTGGTCACCAAGAGCAATAGCAATAGCAGCAGCAACTTGAACTGTAAGCCGCTTGCAAAGATTTTGCGGGCAGGCGGCTGATTGTGAAAAGTGGTCACGATGACGACCGAAAATTCACTCGCGAAAAATGAAAACAAAGTTCAACGGGAGAGCAGCAGCAGCAACAGCAGCAACAGCCGCAGCTATGCGTACAGCAGTATTGTCCAAAAATGGTCTCCATTGCCCAATACCCCTATGACCCACTCCGCTTTACCCACCGCTGCTGTCGTCCAGCGAAACGAACTTTCACAACTTGACAGGATGCGAGGGTGGGTAGGTGAGATGAGTGCGGTTTATATGCTTTTGACTGCTTTATTTGATTTCCACGGAATACTCTGGCAAAGGGGCGTGACAGTTCGGAGGAAAGAATGGGGATTCCTCTGTGAAAATTGTAAAAAATTACTTGGGATTTGTGGGGCACTTCTTGTCTATTTAGGGGTCGAAATTGAGCTCTCAAGTTGATTGGATACAACAATGAACGCAATAGCAGCCAAAACAGCTACAACAACAGGGCTGCAATTAATATGAGTCGAGAGTCTGTTTCTAAAAGCAACAAGTAGAGATGCTTATTTGATTAGTGCTAACAGATACGCTGTAAATTGTATGGGAAAAATTAGAGCTGCTAAAGCTCGAAGATTCTTAATTTATTGGCAAGCATTCAAACCGCAGAACCTATTCAAGCAGAATTATACTGGCCTTATCTGACTTTCAAACACATAATGTAATACTACTCATACAGCCCTTCTGAAGAAATATATTTACCCCTTATATAAATGTTTACAGGGTATCTTGAATGATACATCCACAATAATGGGTAACTTCAGCAAAACGGAAATGAATTCAATTGCCTTTTAAAGCATCTTAGCGTTGCTTTAACCAATATTTCGAACAAAATTGGTAATTAGCTAGCAAAATTCTTTTGTAAAACTTCACGCCTGAAAGCTATATATATATATATAGTATATATTAAGGTCTCTCTGTATTTATGGCCGCTGGGCCTTGTTAATCTCGGCTATTTGTCAACAGTGTAAGCAGCCGGGTCGTCTCATTAAATTACTCAAAATATTAATGCAGCTGCTTCCAGGCTGACGAGCGGCTCTTACACACGCCCCCTTGACGTGGCTGCTCCACATATAATCGCATTTTAAACTTTTTCAATAATAAACTTTTCTAAACGGATTTCCCGCTGGACGTTGCGCTTTAATAATTTTCTGTCATATCCTTTGCAGGCGGGCAGCAGCAACAGTTGATAGCCACGAACCCAACCGAGAGATAGCTAGAGAAGGAGTGAGTGAGACAAACTACATCAAAGCCATTAATTCAAATTGAGGATTATGAGCGCAACGGCAACAGCAGCAACAGCAACAGCAACAACTAGGAAAAGGTGAGCCGGCACAAACTCTGCTTAAACTCTGCTCAAACTGGAAGTTAACCAACTAACTCTTTGATATCTCCTCCCGTCTCCTTGCAGCCCACGCCAATGTATGACAAGTCAAAGAAAACCTGGAGTCAGCGGCTCAAAATCAGCAGCGACAATAAAAACGCTTCTCTAGCCACAGCCGGCGGCATGCAGACCCTACAACTGCTGCACATGCAGCAGCAGCAGCAGCAACAGCAACAACAGCAGCAGCAGCAGCTGCAATATCATCATCAACAGCAGCAGCAGCAGCAGCATCATCCCCATCATCATTTGCAGCATTTAGCTTATCAGCTGCCCCCGCCACCTGCCGCACCGCCGCCTGGCTATGAGTTCTTGCCCAGCGCGCTGTCGCGCTCCATGAAATACGCAGAGCCCTGGATCTATGGCACGGTGCGTGGCATACCCGCTCGCCCCTCCTACAACTATGGGCATCCGCATGCAGCGGCTATCTTTGCGACGGATGGGGAGCCGGGCGGAGCCACAGCATTGGCCGTTGTGATCTGTTCGTGCGCTGAGTATTTGAATGGCACGAAACGTGATGTGAAGAAGGCGAGCGTGTGCAAGAAGTGCAAAGGTTCACGCCTTCCTCTGGCCACCATCAGTGGTGGCGGCACCGTTCGACTGCCAGCGGCAGCTGCTACCGTTCGGCGTCCGATGGCGGCGACAATGCGCGTGGTTAGCGCCACCAAAAAGTCACGTCCAACGATTCTGGATCCACAAAAGGATCCCTATGACCTGATGCGACGCACAAGGCTGCTATCGCCGGAGCCCAGCGCCGCCGAGTCAAGCGCCAAGGAAGGCAAGTCACGTAGCCGCGAAACAACTGCCACAGCCACAGCGAGTGCCTCGTCAAATGGCAAGGCAACAGCAACTGCCACGAGCATGCAACGCGGACGCACCAGAACGCGAGCACAGCTGCCCATAGCTCGTACATCGAAGAGCACGCCCACGGCTCCACCAGATCCAGCCGATTGCTGGCTTGAGGAGGACAACGAGGCACTGCTGCAAAGCAGCGGGCTGCTCAGCAAGCGGCAAGCAGCCAGCAATTCGCGTCGCTCCATCTTGCGCTGCAATGTAAATCCCTACGAACTGATCTCAGTCGAAAGCCAAGCCAAGACCAAAAACCACGATGACTTTGATGTGGCCGATGCTCAGCTGCACGAGGATGAGCACGAACAGCAGCAACAACAACAACAACAGCAGCAGCAGCAACAACAGCAGCAACAGCGCAGCAAGTTCTACAACAACAATGTGGCTGCCATTGCCGGCCAGCGCATTAGCCTGGGCGAGAAGTCAAGCGACGTTGCTGACTCCAGCGATAGCTATGAACGCATAATAATTGCCACAGAGTCGACGCCACATGCAGCTGCAACAGCTGCCAGCAATCCAAGGCGTCCACCGCGCAACAAGAAGCCAGAGGAGTCGCTTAACCTGGCTCTCGTCGATGCACAGCCAGCAGCTGTTGTTCCGGTTGCCGTTGCTGTTGCAGTTGCAGCGACTGGCGATGAGGCTTGCAGCTCGGAGGCTTACACCGTGCTCACTGTGACGCCTACTTCGCCAGGCATCAAGTCCATACTGAAGCGGCCGACCACACTGGAGCTGAATGGTCCTTTGCTGTCGTCTGACACTGGCTTGACGCCTGCAACGGCGCCTGTGTTGACGCCCGCGGGCAAGTCACAGTTCTATATACCAACGCCAACGACACCGGCGACAGGAACAGCAACAGCAACTGCCACGCCCACGCCCACATCTGCGTCGAGTACACGCAAAAAAGTGCAATTTATGGTTGAGGATAAAATCATAGCCACGACTACGGATGCTGCAGCAGCCACGGCGACAACTGATGACAGCGAAAATTCCGTTGTTGTTGCTTCTGATGATGAGACAACAGCAACAGCAACAGCAACAGCAGCAGCAGCAGCAGCACCAGCAACTGCTGCAACAACAGCAAACTATGAGTACTACAATCGCAAGCGCAACGCAGCCACACAGCAGGCGACAGCACAGCAGCAAGAGCAGCAACAACAGCAACAACAACAAGAGCTGAAGCTGCAACTGACATTGTCAGCGCTTGAATCTGACATTGATGATGAGTATAACTTTACAGCTTCCGCTGAGCCAACAGGAACAACTTCAGCGCTGGCCACGCATATTATGCCAGATAGTTTGCATTATGAAGATGTGCTGCCGCCTGTGCATCAAATATTTGACAATAGTCGCAGCAGCAGCAGCAAAAGCAACAACAACAGCAGCAGCAGCCAGCCGACTGATGTTTGCCAAGTAGCTGAAATTTTGCCAAACTCAACAACTGCTGCTGCAGCTCCTGCTGGCTTCAAATTATTATTGTCGGCGTCAAGTCCGAGCCATGCTGGGTCAACAGCAGCAACAGCAGCAGCAACAGCATCCACAGGAACAGCAACAACGGCAGCAACATCACCGCATGTCACTGCAAATGTTGTTAGCGCTTTAGCAGCGGGTAAGTACAGAGACAACAGCAGCGAAATTCACTGCTGTTGCAGCTACTCTCAAACATACCACGCCCCCTTTGCAGCCCTCACAAGCCCCCACATTGGCCTTGTCAGGCAACGCGGCAACTTTTGCCTTTTGTTAGCTTTTAATTATGAGCAAAAATTTTGCGCGCTGCAACTAAAAGAATGCAATGTGAGCAGTTTTTTCTATACACTGTCAAAGCGGGCATATTAGCCAAGCCAAGCGGAGAGCTCTGCAGCATGCATTTAATTGACTAACTCATTAAAATGAACTGCCAAAATAAATGAGAAATATTGAGCGATATTCCTAGCTCAGCTCCTTACAAAAGTCATAAATGATTCATTTAGTTCAGCTATTCATAAACGATTCATTCTTTTGAGTATTTCAAACGTTCTTAAAGCAAACGTTCTATTAAAGCTATTCAGCTCTTTATTGTAAGCAACTGAGCTGCTGCATTGCGGAGCAATACGAATCATAATTAAGCTAGGGACTTCAATTGAACCATATAGTTCATTATATAAATATATTTCTCGTTTCCCAAATTCAACTTAATTTTTCAAGTCTCATTTTCTCTACTCACTTGCTTAGCGCAGCGACTTTATCTTACTCTCGCCGAGTTCCTTTCGCTTGTCTCTTTTGCCGCGTGTCATTCTTTCGCCTTCGCTCGCATTCGTCTATCGTTTGTCCACACTTGCCGCAGTGTTTGCTTTTGACTAAAAACGTTGCAATTGTTTGTTAATTGCTCATCAGCATGCGCTAGTTCTCTCTCATTTCGCTTCTATCTCTCTGTCGCCTGCTTTCCTTTGCAGCGCTTTCCGGAAATTACGTATACGCCAAGTAATCCCCCATTGAATGCATTAAACAAATTTCTAATAACTATGAAATAGTTAAGCAAACAATTGCAACACCTAAACTGTCACGCACACATACGCCCACACATACCAGCACACACACACACACCCACCCACACACACGAGTCAAGGCAATTGAATTTGCGACGTTTGAATGGAAGCCCTAGTTACCGTTGACATTGGCGCACCTGCTGCAAGTTCAGCGGGTTAACCCTATAATCAAGCGCAGGGCCAGGCTAAGTCCACAGTTGGAGACTATAAAGGACTCCCCCACATACACACACACAGCCATGCACACATGCCGCGCTGCGAGCAGCTGGCAAAGTCAACTTGACATTTGCACCCGCAAATGGCAAACCGACTACGCGACAACTCCTCTAACTATACTATATATATATATATATATATATATATTTATACATACAGACTGTTTGAGAGTGGGCGTGGCTAGCGCCTGCAGTTATAGTCGCACATGTTCAACTTCAGCTTCATTCAAAGCAAATTAACAGAAGACACAAAAAGTTTTTATTCAATTAAATTTTGACTGCGGCAAATGTCGAACATTTCAAAAAAAAATAGACTTGAGATGCTTATTAAGTGGGATACACTATGCTACAAGTTAATAAATAACAGAAGTGAACTTATGCTATAACATGTATGTTCTGAATGAATCCATAAAGAGAGATAGACAGGTGAAGTAAGAAATGGAAATATATATTCTTGCCTTCATACCATAAAGTGCTTTAAGTTTAGAGTACAGTTGCTACAGCCACGAAACTTATTATTAGAAAACTGTTCTCAGTGCGTAGTGCTAGAAATCTCTAAAGGTCTTAGCATATCAGCTGCTACCTCTTCTCTACTCATCCAATCCTATCTAATCTACATTACCTCAGAGACCGCTCTTTAAAACCAATTCTCAAGACTCTCATTTGACTATAAACAGAGTATTCTGTAGTTGCTTCCATTCTCAATCACTGTCATACAGCAGCTGAGTATCTCTCCAACACACTCCAATCTAATCTACTTTGACCCTCAAACACCTTTCAGTGCATTTTCGAGGCACTCGCCCTTTCAAGTGTGAACAGAGCATTGAGCAGTCGGCTGCAATTGAAGCCACTGTAATGTAGCAGCGGCTGTAACTGTGGCACGCGCCTGTGCTGTGTTGCACAGTGTTATATGACGATGTCTGGCTGGCATGCCTAATGCCCTGCTATTTCAGCAATGCGGGCTACAAAGACAATGTCAACGCACAAACTGAGGCGCTGCTTGTGAGCAGCCGCAAATGCGATGGTCGCGACAACGGCGATGATGACGTTGATGTTGATGACGATGATAATGATTATGGTTGCCTATTACCTGCAACATGGCAAGCACTTTATTCTATGGGATACCCTCGCCTTCACTCTGTCTTCAGCATATATGTGAAAGTCGTGGCGCCCACGTGTCTCTGCCAGACAATTACAAAGTTGCTCCTTTGCTTGGCTGTTGGCTGCAATTTGTTGCATTGTTTGTCGCCTCCATTTCGGGCTAGAGGACAGGGAAGGGTGAAGGGTGGGGCCAGGCAACTGGGTGTGAGTGTCGCGTTCTGCGCCTCGGCCAAGAGTTAAGCACTTGGAACTTTTCAAACTATTTTTGATTTGATTTTTGAAATGAGTGCGCTTACAGCCAGCCAGCCAGGCACGCTGTGCAGCTCCTTCTCCCTGCGCTTCCAACTGAGTTGATTTATAGCGCACGTGTTGCATTTGCCTGGCTGCGAATCAAAGTGAAAGGCATTAAAGTGATATGAGTCGAGCTCCGTAGCTCTGTCCCGTTTGCCCGGTGAAATTTGCATTTTTCTGTGTCACACGAATTCGCCAACGCGATTGCTCCATCATATTTAATGTGCTTGCTGCCCCACAGCGTGTCCCGAGCATTATTAATATTTCATATTTGTCTTTGATAAGCAGCAAATGTGCCGGCGACAAGGGGCATACACCACTCTCATTTGAATAAGCCTGCAAATTGAAATCATGAAAACAGTCAGCCAAACAGCCAAATAGGTGGGTGTGACAGACCAACAGATAGCCTGTGGGCAGCTAGATCAAGCTCTCATTACAAACTAACTTTCACTACAGTTTTTATATAGAGAGAGGTGTAGAAAGAAGCAGGAATATGGCTAGTAACTTCAGGAAACTAGACTAACCATGCTGATAATAGAATATACGATATTTAGTGGTGCAACCACTAGATAGGATAACCTCTATCTAAAGGTATTGCTTTGAAGTTAGAACTTAGATACAGAGAAAGAAAAAGAGAGTCAAAATGCAGCTCAGATTGGACTCAGGCTAGTTTAGGAACTAATCAAATAGAAATAGAACTTCTTTCTAACTTCTTTCTAACTTCTTCTTCTTCTTCTCTCAGTAAGGCTTCGTTTAGGAGGTCTTCAAAATGTCCATTAAATAATATGACTTATTTCTAGCATTGTACAGGGTATTCAAGGTCTGCCACTCGAAACTGTTTGTCGCATCTGTATCATAAATAGTTTTTCTTTCCTCTTACACTCGGTCAGTTTTATTGTATAACTTCATATATTCAGCATTATTTATCAAACGTTTAATTTTCAGCATGAAGTATGAGCTAACATGTTGATGGCTTTCCCAAACTAAACTAAATAATTTATAGGATTTAGCAAAACATTTCCAGGCATTGTTTGACATTTTGTGGACTAATTTTATGCAAAAAAGTTAAAATATTAAAAACCATTTAATCTAGTATAGTTTTATTTATATAATGTTCATTTTCCAATGGGTCAACTTCCAATTTAAATTTTTTGCTGAAAATAATAAATAATTGAAAAAATGCGCAGCTTTGTGGCGCGCTCAAAAGATTTTTCCTCTTTGCAAATTACACTGCTAATATTTCTTGTTTGCTCTCAAATGCTATTTCCTCTTCCTTACTTTCATTCTCGATTCTCATTTTCATTTTCATTTGCGTTTAATGGGACTCGCTTTAAATTTCAACGCTCGTCAAATGAAGTGTGAATGAAAAATAAGAGGCGAGGCACACACCAAAGGAAAAAATAAATAAATGAAAACAACTAAAGAGATTTTTAATACGCGTGCCACAAATGTAATTTCAAATGTCAAAAACAGCTAAAAACTCGATTTGGTTCAGTGTCATTTCCCCTTGCCTTGGCTAACGCCGTCCCCACACCCTCACCGCCCTGCCACATGCTCGGGCTCCTCCGTTTATCCAAAGGGCGCAACAAAGTTACACTTTGCATTTTACATTCAGCATTCAACATTTTTATGGTTATTTCTCGCTTACGCTCATAACGGAAGTGGAGCCTCATGTCTTCATGTACTTTGCATATTTACACTAATAGAAAATGTGGTTGCCAATTGAAAAAAAGGAAAAGCAACAAGAAATGCGTATAATGACGAGGCAATGCTCTGCTTGAGACTCGAAACGAAGAAGGAAACGAGCAAAGCAACGATCTGGTGTGACTGATGCAAGATTGATTTGAAGAAGAGAAAAAATATAAACTTAATAATAAGGTTAAGGATATCTTTATATGCTAATTAATCCATATATAAATTATGATAGTAATTTGAGCTTGCTATAGTTACTAGATAACACCTACTTTCATACACTAGTCTAGCGTACGAGGAGTCATCCTAATCTATAAAAACTCACTTCTCAAATTTAGATTAATTTCGAAGCTAATAGCTCCTCGGTAGGCGTGTCTAGCAACAATCACGCTAAGCAGTTGTGGCACAGCTTCATATATGTATAGATCTGAATCTTTACTTGTCTAACTTCAACTGCATCGAAGGAACTTGGCTTAGCCAACAGCCTCCATATACCCTTCTGATTCTTATGAACAGTGCATAACAAGGCGCATGCAAAACTTTGTCATGTCCTTGTTGCTGCTATTGTTGCTGCTGTTGCTGTTGCTGCTGCTGCTGCTGTTGCTCCTGTTTTATGTGCTGCAATAAAAACTGTCGCAGGCGACAGGCCAAGGGCCAGTTTTTACGACTGCGCTGTCGGCGTAGCTGCTGCTGTTGCTGCTGGCTTTGGGGCTAGTTGTCCAATTGCTGCGACAACATTTGCATATGTATGTGTTTGTATGCCCAGCGCCCATTCCTCAAACTTA